ACGTCATTTTGCTTTTTGCTTGATAGCTCAGACAGAGCTGAGAATCAGGGAATGAGTGGGTGAAGGAAAAGCTCAGGTAGAATGGGAAACAGGTTACATACAGCCAATTGCTTCATGCTGTCTATGCTTTGTCTATGTCAGTTGTTTCACATCGAAATATAAGAGTTTATTTATTTCTGGAGAGGCTATAACTTCAAAAAGAATATTAAATTTAGCCCCATTTATCTTTTAGTGGATAAAGGTCATGGCTGTGGTCAGCAGGAGGTCAGTCGGTTATATTGGCTGACAAATTGTTTCATGTACATGCAAACAGCCCTGAGGATTTCTGATCAGTCCAGCGTTCAGACACCATGTCTCCACATCTGACACGGGACATTGTCTCCTGAAGAGAAGCTGCATTGTTTCTTATGCAGAAGTTAGAAATTTAAAAAGCAATATCAAGTTCGACTTGATTCAAAGAACCTCTGTTTTTTAGAAAGACAGACGCGTGATTGCAGCTTTCAAGGCTTTGCATCACAAGTTAAAATGCCACAGCAACTCAGCAGACGAGATGTGGAAAACCTGATGAATAATGGAGTGTGAAAGTATTGAATTGCAGCAACATTCCCAAACATGAACTTCATCGACCGAGGCGCTGTGATAATCTGCAGTGTCTTATGTCATGGTTTAAATCTCTGCTCTTGTTGCTCAAGGTGTTGATGTTAAGCTGAATGACTTGACAGATTAAGTTATACTCCTTGTGACAACATCGCAAAGGCTCTTCCCTCCCCCTACAGTCGGTGCTGTAAATTTCAGGCAGGTGTGGCAATGATTGAAGGCCTTATGACAGACCTTTGCAAATCCTTTAATCCATTCATGAAGCACAATAGGGGGCACTTGATGCACTTTATTCTGGTACTTCTCCCCATCTGGCTTCTGTAAAACACACTCAGAGGCTCTGAGAGCCTTGACAGGAGCCGATCACATGACATTTTGAGTGCTTTGACAGTTCAACATGGATTAAAAAACCCAAATTAAACTATTATTTGGACATAAAAATATAAGAAACAACTTTTTTCCCTGCATGTATTATTTGTTATCTTAAAGCTTACATTGCTTTTGCACATTTTTTTTGGCTAAACTGCACAGATCCTTTGCACAGAAAAGTGTTTCATTCCCAAACCAGGGTAAGAAAATACTGTAAGGCAGGTGAGAATTTATATGTCCTGTCCAAGGGTGCAGACTGCTGGAATCTCTGTAATTTTATGACCATATGGATTGGAGAGCAGCTTGCTATCTGTGACGGAGTGTCAGAATTACAGCTGAGTGTTTATGATCTATGGATTTGTGTCCCACTCCAGTGACTCTTAGGGCCGCTCCTTCACACAGAAGACTTGTAATATCTCACTGAGAAAGAGAATAACCTCAAAAGTGAAAACATGAAGGGAAATGAAAAACTGCTAAAATCCCACATGTTTTCTGGAACATCACAAGTCTATTCCACATATATAATTGAAGTTATTTACTCTTAAATGTGATTTCATGCAAAAAGTATAACAATTAAAAACTATTCCCATAATCAATTCCCGGGTATTTGGCTACAAATCTGCATCTATGGTAACAAAGGTGTCAAGGGGTTTGTTTCATTCAGTTGATCTAGTTATTGTATGCTGCCCCCTTGAGCTGTGCTTGAGTACCTCACTATCCTGAAAGGTTTTCCTCCTGTGTAAAAAGTGTGATTATGTAGACTTGGTATATTTTGTTTTAAAAATTCAGTGACTTTTGGAAGAGAAGCAATGTGTGCTATATATATAGAAAAGTTTCTTGACAGATACACAGTACTGTGCAAAAGTTGAGCCACCACTCACCTCTTTGGACACTGACTCTTTTTTGACTCTTTCTTTATTCCAGTCGTTGTACTTGACCATTTTCAGAAAAATGTGTTTTCGTTTGTTATGTCATTGCCAGTGAATGAATCATGAATCATTCAAGGATAAGAAGGAAAAATTAGACACCATACTCAAGGGATATAAAACATCTTATCAAAGAACCTTCAAAAGAATCTGCAGATACTTTCTTATTAGCAGCCTGTTAAATATATCAGTTTTACAGACATAAAAGAGTATTTTTGCACCAACAAGTTGATTCCCAAAGAACTATTAGCCAAAAACTTAACATATCCTGTCACGGTGTGCAGTGTGTCCTTAAAAAAATTGGGGAACTTGGCCTTTTGGGGTTAAAACCTTCCTTCCGTTGGTTGACCGTTTTTTGAAGTTCTTGCCTTTTCTTTTATTGAAAAAAAAAAGCCCTATGAGATTGACTGACTGTTTTTGGTGTTAACTGTTTCTGTGTCTGGGTCAAATGGCTCCAATTCAACTGAACCTTGTGTTGTGTCAGTAGGTTAAATGTATCCATCCTTCCTTGAACCAGTGATCGCACCCGCCAATCAAGACCACATTAATCAACCATAGTGTCATGCGGCATGGGGCAGAGAAAGTGCTCAACCCTGCATCCATCCATCACTCTGGCTGTAACATGTCAACAATTTGCATCTTGTAGGTATAGATACAAATACCATACAGACAAAATGGTGAGTAAGATTCTACACAGAGTGACTAAATCAGTTTGTCTCCATCGCTGTTTGGGCGAGACTGAGCCAAAAACCCTTTCTGTCTTTTTCTCCTTTTCTCTGTCTGTGCAGGTAAAGTGGAGAATTGGCTTCAGGTGATTTGGGGAAGATCTTATCTTCTGTTAACAGAGGAATGACACCATAATGGAGCAGCAGGGGTGCAATTACCTTTCAGCCCTCCTCCTCCTTCTTCTCTTTTTTCCCGCCACCTTCACCTCAGCCTTCTCTGACAAATTAAGATTAATGATGGAGATAAGTAAGAAACCAGCCTGCCTTCCAATATCACACAGTCGAGTTGAGTGTGAGAACACCTTATGATCACAGCAAGACAGACTCAAAGCCATGCGCATCCATTAAAATGTCTTAAAATCCAACTTATGTCCAAATTCATTAAAAAAACAATTTTGAAATCACATAGAGCTGCTTTTCTGTGTCGACAGAACAAATTCATAAAATACAGTTTATTACAGATCCACCAGCGCTATAAAAGTTAATTACATCATAGAGAAATGCAACAGGGAGGCACACCTTGATAGACACACCTACCTTACTGCCACAGTGGAGGGAAAAAAGTCACGCCACTGTAATCACGACATCAAATAATCGAGTCTTGGCACATGACTCTATTTTTCGGGTTGATAAGCTTTATTATTTTGTTTGTACCACTTGGTTCTTGGCATGTTTCTTCTTCTTCTTCTTCTTCTTCTTCTTCTTCTTCTTCTTCTTCTTCTTCTTATTATTATTATTATTATTATTATTATTATTATTATTATTATTATTAGGTATTTTGGGGTGGTGGTTCGGGAGGTGGAGCAGGTCATGAGCTAATTGGAAGATTGGTGGTTTGAGTGTGTGTGAACATTTAATCTTAGATGTAGAAAAAAATTCTTGCACAAGCTATTTGAGTTCTTCACTAGAGTAGAAAGTTTTATACTCCTACATGTATTCACCATACTGCTCACTTGCCAGCAATATGTTCCTAAAAGTGGAAGGTGGCCAGGCCTTCCCCCGTTCTACTATGGCCTACCACCGTTTACTCGACATGGCTGAATGTGTGACCCCACTTCCCCGCAGCTGGAGGTGTCTGTTTCACAGTCCTCTGTAATTCAGGACCTTAGTGGATAATGTTTCACAGGTACAAAAGTTTCTGCTTTAATCCTATCACACAGAGTGAGTGGTCAGGGCTTAGTGCTTCTGCCTAATCCCAGGTTTATCCATTCTGGTCAGCTCTGAGACCGAGAGTATGCAGAGAGGAAGAGATTACCGCCCATCACTGATTTTATTCAGTCAGTGTTTGCACAGCAAACGGCAAGAAGAATCCGTTATTAGTAGCTATTCCACACCTCAGTGCACAAAGAGGAAGAGCAGTAATAGTTACAGTTAAACATCTCTCCTCTGGCTGCTGTTAAACCAGCTGATCTTCAGAACTGAGGAATTCTACTGTGTATCAACTTGAAATGACTGAAAGTGAAAGTGTGATTGAAGCTGTATATATATTTGCTAACTGAAACTAACTAACTAACTAAATAAATGATCATTTTAGAGATCAAGACAGGTTTATTGCATTCTGTCAGAGTTAAAGTAAAACATGAACTAAAAGGGTCTCTAATGGCTGGCAAATCTGTGCTTTCTTGTGAAGGGCTTGTCATCTTCACAGCAGGCGGTTTTGTGCTGAAACATGCTTTGACGTGGCTTCCTCTGGAGAACACAACCTGTCGCAACTTCACACTGTGTCCTTGTCACAGCTGCAGGTTTAAGTCAGTCTACATCACTCTGCAAGAAGGATATTTGGCAGGAGCTATTTGGTGGCATGTTATAAAACATAAGCTACAATTTGAAAGGTAATGACTGTTTTTTAGACTAAAAACTGGCTTTTTTCACCTCAAAAAGCATGGTGAGTTTTCTTGCTCTACTAACAGAATTTCTGTTAGGCCTGATATGTCTCTGCAGAAAGCATGCAAATGCATGAAATTTAATACATATTCGCGCTGACGACAACAAAGCAAATTGCTGCATCCTTCCACAGGTCCCTTGAAGTGTGAGACTTTAAGGAAGAGTGGTTCTTTTGAAGGCAGGTAGAAGGCGTTGCAGGGCTGAGAGGTGCTGCAAAGGGCATGTCCAAACAGACTTTAGGCCCTGAGTGATGGGACAGGGGAAACGGTAACAGGACACCTCACCCTTGCTCTCATGTCAACACAGCCATGTGAATCACAGCTGTGAGAATGCCCGAAGATCCAGGAGACAATAGGCGCCAACTCTCAGCAAGATCTATCTGTGATCTATGTTTTTACAAAATCTGCAAGCTTTGTAACCATCAATACGTTGGTCAGCATCGGCTGCGATTTTTCCAGCCCTTTGAAATGTTTTAAACAGTTGAGTAATAAATCTTTATCTCTCATCAGGGGTTTCTGTAGTAGGTCTCACGTGGAAAAGGATAAGTTAAGATGCAATGCATCACTGGAGTTTAAAGGGCTCAACTTAAGCACCGCTTCACTGGTGAGCCATGAATTGATGAAGGTAAGAAAGGTAATCCATATGGCTTCTGTAGTAATTCAGAAGGTAAGTAGCTGTGTAGTTACCTGCTGGCAAAGCACATTTACTGGAAAGTAGAATAAATAATTATGTGCGGTGTAAATATATATTCACACTGACTCCAAGTGGAAACAGTAGTTAGATAAATGCAGTTGATTGAAACAGGGAGAACCAAAGGTAATATAGAAACTGACTGAAGAAATAAGTATCACAGAACACATGCTGCTTTTCAGTTATCAAGTTTATTGGCAGGTCTGTGGACCAGAACCAATGAAAAGGTGGGTACCAGTGGTCTAATCCATGTTGGGTAGACTGGGTGTGCCTTAATTCTCCCTTCTAAAGATAAATTCGAGCCTTCAAATGATTTTGCCAGCAATACATAATAGCAAATGAAAGACTTTAACTGAAAACAAATCCCTTTTCTTTTATTCCCGGTTGAAACTGTTGACTTGTTGGCATCTCTTTGCAATTACATAATTTCAGAGATAGAGGGCAGCAGACATCAGTAAAACCCCCCTCAGTGGGTTCATCCATTTTTTTGACTCGCTCTTTAGATTTTTCCAATAAATGTAATCAATTTGCTTGTTCGTAGTGAATCTGTAATGCAGTACCGCAGTAAATGTATAACATTAAATTGCAAAAATTCATTTTTTCAAGTAAAATCAATCCAATCTCATCACTTTATTCATGTTTTCTAATGTTTTATTTTGCAAGCTGATGTTAATGGACACAGAACACAGTAAAATCATTGAGGTTTTGTCTGCCTGACGATCTGTAAAGCATGTTTTGTGATGATTATATTACAATGATGATTTTTTTTAAAGAAAAAACAAACTAAATTGATACATTTAATCCAAAAAGATTACACAAAATTAAAAAAACAAACAAACAGAATAAATAGTTATTTTTTAAGAATGGAATTTCATGTCAAAAACATATGAATGAAAAGAAATTTACATGGTAATATTTTTACTGTATCAGCAAACACTTTGCACTGTCATACCTTGATATCAAATTTGATCAAAATGCTGAAATTACATAATTGTTGCTCAAAACATGACATTTAAGTGTAAGGTACTTGATCGGACCAGACTATTCCTGATATAGTAAGACTAAATATTATAAATCTATCATACAATGAACAAGGCTTTACCGTGTATCCAGACCTTACTGTGTATAACCACAGTCGGTTATCTTTCATTACAGTAGGTTTCTTGAGAAAGTCTTTAATATATCAGTGCTATTGAAAACTCCATGGTCTCTGTTGCACTAATACATTGTTAAGTCCATGGGTGCATCCTCTGTAGGCTTCTGCTGCTCTTTTTTGCGTGTGTAGGCTGCATGTTCATATGTGTAGATCAAGGCGATGGCAATGAGAGAGAGCACTGTGTAAGGGATGACCAGGTAATATCCTACCTGCATCACTGAAGCCTTTCCCTTCAGGTCTACTGTAAAACCCTCAGTATACTTTTCTACAAAGGTTTCTGCCATATTGGTCGCACTGATGTTCACCACAAACAGGATGAGGACTATCACAGACAAGCATGCTGCAGGAGAATAAGTAGCATTAGAAATATCACAAACAAAAGAATAGAACAAAAATCACACCTTATTTTTTCATGGAAATGCCCCAGCACTTCCGCTTGTGCAACATGCTTACTGCTATAACATATCAGTCACTTACCACTGAGAGAGCTGCAGATGTAGACTCCAACAGGCCCCATGTAGGTTTCATAAGGATTGCTGACACTGTTGTAGAGAGAGATGAGGATGCTGCATGCCGAAAACAGCAGACAGAGGGCAAGAAGGCACAAAACCAGACCGTGTAGGACTACTGAAGCAACTTCTCTTCCTGCCAATGTAGGAATCACTAAACACAGAAACACAGGTCATTATGGTCCTACATTTAATGCTGTACTGAACTTCTATGTTTATTGAGTACAAGAGGCTGGTAAGAGGCTGCCTGAGCAGTTTCATAGGATCTAATTCTCCTTCACGATGGAAGTTTTGATAGCATTTGTCTTTATTTTGAGATATCTGTCTGGGACTTCTAATCATAACAGCTTGTGTCAGAAGGAAAAACTGTTGACAGTGTGTTCTTTTCATTATGCACACTAAGAGCGACACAGATTCTAGAGTAAGACCGGAAGCTGGTGGTCAAAATGAATCAAATTAAATTAAATTTTCCCCATTGCTTGAAGGTAGGATGTGTCAGCGACTGAAATTTATTAAACTAAAATAAAAACAGCCAACATTGTGGAGATATATGAGAGAACATCGTTGTTTGAGTCTGTTTCTAGTTGGTTGAACGGGGCTTTTGAAAATTACCTTGAAATGTATCTGTAGCTCCAAAAAAGGGGCAGGAGGATCTCTCTAATATTCCATCAAAAAGGGTCAAGGTGATCTCAGCAGATCCATTGTACAAACCAGAAGCCTTTTGTGCGCACTCCATGGTTGTTATAACCCACTTTGTTGACATGCCATATCCAATAATCCCAACAGATATAGATGTAGCCAAAGCACTGGATATGAAATGCAGAGTCTTCTTTGTGGAAGGCATTATCACTGTATTCCAGTTACACTAGTTAAACACGAATCCCAGAGTTTCTTCTCTAAAGCTCTGGTGAAGCCACAGAATGAGATCAAGGTCCTCTGAGCCTCTAAAGATTCTCTAAGTAATTCTCATTTACCTTCCTTGTTGGAGGGGAATATAGATAGCTGGTCATAAAATGTCATGTTTATGGCTGCGACCTTTGGTTTGAAGGGAAACATGGAGCTGGTTGTCATAGTAGAGACACCTGTTTCACCAACAATAATACTGGTGCCATGCCATTGTCATGTAAAAAAAAAAAAAGAAGAAAAGAAGAAATATACAGTTTATTTGTTTTTGAAGTAAATTATTGTAAAGTGCAGATGATGAATCTGAAGATCTGAGCCAAACAAAACCCAACAACTTCAAAACATGTAAAAGAAATATGTCAAATCTTTCAAGGATTCTTGATCCTGTAATTCAGGAACTTCACACACCTTCTGCTGGACTTATTAAAAAAGGTTTGCAGCCTTTGGTTTCAAAGTCCTTTCCTTGATATTGCAGGGCAATAAAACTTATTGCAGATGAATTATTTATCTTGCATGAGAAAGAAAATTACTGGAAGAGGGCTGTCACTTAATAACACGCATACGTCATCAATAAAGCACTAAAGCTATCAGGGGAGTGTCACAGATTATAAATCACATTTACACTATATAAAATGTCAAAATTACAGAGAAATCAGATTAGCGTGTTTCACTGTGGATCACATTTCACAGTTTTTTGCTATTTGCTGCTTTCTGAGAATAGACAGGAAGAGTGTTCTGCTTTTCCAGTATGACTGGAGCTATAAACCTCAGGGATACATGCCTCCTGATAAGGACAGATAAGCAGCTACAATGATCGAGAGAATCATTTTTTTCCATTCCCCTAAACCATGACGCATTCAATTCTTTGAACGTGTATTTGCTCATATTAACAAAAGACTCTTGTGTCGGTCTATCACCCATTGTTGCAGTTCAAAAAAATGATACATAATTCATTCACTTTATTTAAATCACAAATCCCCCTCGTTTCATCTCTAGTATGTAACCCTATTAAGTTAAAGCACACCTTCAGAAGGAACCACACGACTTTGTCACAAACAAACAAAAAAAGTGAATCTGTAATGCAGAAGTCCTACACACGTTGTAATAAAGTTTGTGGCCAGACTGCGGCTCCCTCTCTTCGCCAAAAACAGAGAGGATCCGTGCGGTTGCTGACAGCCGGTTCTGTGGAGTAAACACAAACTCCTCCCTCCCGGTGACAGGCGGCAACACTGAAGCGTCGCCTCGGCTTTTCCAAGACAATCTGCGCTCAGGACTGAATATTAAAGCCATCTAAGGTGAGTGATGAGATTCCTTTATGGCATTGCATCGTCTTTTTTGCACCCGGACACTTGTATATCGAGGAGGTGAGGGAAACATCCAAATTTTCAGTCATTTTCCCAGTCACGTCAAACGCCGTGTTACCTGTCCGTTACGCACAGCAGCGCGTGGAATTTTCACATTTAGCGTCCATTTCAGGTGCGCATTCAGCTTTACCGTTGCAGTGAGTGAATTCCTCGTAGAAGTCACCATGTTTATCGTGTGCTTAAATGCTCTGAGCTCTCCTTTTGACAACCTGCAGCGACTTCTGTCAACCCGGTGCGTCAGTGAATATGGGTTAATGGATCAAGCGTTTGGAGTTTTATCCTGATCCCCTGTCTTGGGGTTTAGTCTCCCCCTTCTACCTTGTTTAACCGTCATGTTTTTATTTAGAAACCATAACAATAAAAATGATCATTCTTGTCTTCATACTTGCTAGCTGACTCTTACGTGGGCTGCAGTTGTGCCAGTTTCAACATGTCGGTTACCACGGCTGCATTACTACTTCAGATATCATGAATGGTCTCCTTAGACTTGCAGTCATAGGAGGACCCAGGTTTTTGAGTCAGGTTAAAATTTGACTCAAGTTTAATGTTATTTGGTTGCTGAATGCTCTGTTGGCTCCGAAGCATTTGAACATTGGTTTTAATGTAATAATCACCAGAAATGACATTAATCCCCAAAGGGAAGAACTCTCCCCTGGGAGGTTAGAGGTCAGGGCCAGCAAAAAATCAGCATCCCTGGAGCAGATTGCTTGTGGCAGTTTGCCAGTTCAATGCAAGGGGGAAGATGCTGTGCTGTATTTGGCATTTGTTTCTTATCATACCATGGAAATTAAAAATTAAATGAACCAAGACACAATTGGGTTTGTGCTCTGCTGACCTTCAACAGGAGCGGTCACTTTGACATCCTGTACTGATGAATGGACTTCAGTTTAAACACCACGCAGAAACAGATTTGTAGTCTTGCACTGAAATTAATTCTACATGCTTTTCATGTCACATTTTTCATTTCTTGCTTGGCCTACAGTGGACCAAGCTGCCACTGTACTGTCACTACACACTATTTTGGGCCATAACATTAGCCAAGTTTATAGAGGTGCTGTTACTTGTATTAAGTCTGTTAGTCATCCTGACACAGCCAGGTTCTACAGCCTGAGTAGAGCCGCCTCCAGAATGAACTTGGATTAGTTTTGAAAATAAGAAATGTCTGTAATATCTGGTTCATTACAACATAAAGGAGCTTAAGGATCTTGCCAGACAAACCTGATTACTCTGTCAAGCAAAGGTTAGTTCTTTGAGGACCTACCAAGATTTTCTTACTACTAGACTATGAAAGACCAATCAATTTTATGTTCTCTAGAAACCAGAGAAAAATTCTTAGAGGGAAGGTATTATGCTTGATTCTTGCACTCTGTGGGATTACTCTGTATTCACTTTATATAAGGCCTTGGTGCAAACCCTTAGGTCATACGCTGTCTGAAACAAGCCATTTTTAACTTTCATCTTCTTCCTTTTAAGCCAGCTTTTTTTCCTGATTGGTCGCCCGTTGCAAACAGAAGGTTTGATCTGTTAGTGGCCAGGACTTCTGCTCCCAGCAGGAGCTTTGTGACTGGGATGACAGAAACAGATTGTCTAGAGCAGTCTGAGGCCGAGGGTTTTTATTCTTCGTGATTAACTGCACATACCGACAGCTTTTTAATATGAATATCTTCTATATGTATGACAGAAATAGGAAAACGCATAAAGGGTCTCTGTTAAATTTGAAAAATAAACTGTAATGTGTCTGTATTTCTTCATTTTCTTTTTATTTTGTAACACACCTTGCATCATTCTGCTGGTTCAATATTAATGCAGCTGTCATGCAACATGTTCTCCTTAATGCTCATTTATCTTCTCTTTTGTCTCTTATGTAGACAGTCTGTGTCTGAATTTCATTTAAATTATACAGCATAGACCCAAGGAAGATTCTGACACTGCTCTGGCAGAAGCTAATGAGGATGCAATGAAATAAACAAATAGTTTGTGCTCGCCAAGACAAATGAGTCTGTGTAAGGGAAGAAATAACATTTGACTGCTGAGTGCTGCTGGCAGATTGATTTGGCTTTCATCTTCTTGCTATTCATATTTGACTCGAGCGAAACGCTATTCGTTGAGGGTAATTTGTACTTGCTCTGCTGAAGGATACCGGATGTAAGTTAATCTCTGGCATAATCAAAAGGCCCTGTCCGTGGTATGTTCTGTACCTCCTTCTTTGTTATATCTCGAGAAATAAGTGTGAGAGCGCATATATGTTGTTTGTAATAGCGCCTTGGTCTCGTAACTACTCAACAGTTACTAGCTGCAGCAGTTATTGCCAGCTTACATTTAATTGGTGTTTTTATCACCGCCAAGATGTTCTTTTCTAGTTCTGCTCTGCTATAGATAGAACTGAAAACATGGTATGTTGGAATGTGGTGAATGTAAGTGCCTTTTAGTGTGGGTGTGCTGCATGAAATGAACAGATGTGATGATTAATGAAATCCAAAGTGAGGTGGGTAGGAGTGTGATGTCCATACCTGGAGTTTCTAACAGCTTGCTGGATATAAGCCTTAAATTGCCAATTCAACTATCTGCCACTTCTCTCTTAAGTTCTGGAAATGCTTAACTTTGACACATCATGTTGTGCTCTCTCCTAGACTGCAAATACATTAACTGCACTCTGCTTGAAGGTTTTTTTTTTCAAGCACATGTTTTTTCACGCTCTTTTCAAATAGGCGGAGAAGGAACTAATTGGTATAAAGTTGAAACATTTAGGGATGAGTCTGGTCTGACCCAGAACTCATCAGATATTTGCCAGCGGAAATGATCATAGCCTTGAAAAAGGGCTAATGAATTAGGCATGGGAATTGTCACAGTAAGATCTTCCTTTTGATGCAGATAGTATTTGTATCCAACCTGCTATTTTTTCTGCTTTCCTTGGTGGAAGTTTATTGAATTCCATTAAGCTGCAGCATGTTGCAATCGTAGGCTTGTTTGTGCTTGCGGCGAATGTTGCAGAATTCAAACCCTGCAGTCTTCCTTCTAGATGTTGGCTTCATCCTGAAAACACTAAATAATGAGAAAACATATCTTTAGTCATGCAGTGAGAGAAGATGGAAAATTAACCCTTGCTTTTAACCCTGCTATTCCATTCTACCTCCAAATACATAAATGAAAAGTAATGGGGAGGATTAACTGTATAGATCTTCTGTTTTTAGATGTGAGCTAAATCGACAGTTAAAGCAAACTGTAACTGAAAGCACTGACATAACAGTCAAACTAAAAAAGCAGAAACGGCATGTTAGTGGTGTTTTGCTTCCTGCTGTAGGGCTTTGGTAGGATACAGACAGGCCTGTAACCTCACAGTGAGGTGGGACTTAAATGACACACAAAGGGTTTTCCATGGAAGGAGGCCTTGTTACATGGATTAAACATGTGGCTGCTGCAAGGGCAGACTACAGCTGAACAAACTGGTACCTGCACTTGTATCTTTCTGAATCACAACAGTCCTCACCATCTGATCTGCACAGCTGCAAGGAAACGAAGAGACTCAACATCTTTTTTTAAAATAAGTGAAAAACATTTAATCATGTTAACATTCAAGGTTGCCACTCCTTTTTTTTTGTAATAGCCTAATTTGGCATGTAGTTCAGGGTACAGCCTTGCTAACATACTTTTGTTTTTAAAGTGTGTAACTTTCAGTACATTTTGGCCCAGTATACACACCACTACTGTGTTTTAGGCATCCTTAAAAAAGAGCGACTTGTCAGAAATGCTGCTGGCCTACGTTTAGTCTGAAAAGTTAAAGATTGTTTTTGTCTGACTGAAACGCAGACTTTTTGTAAACAGTGATGCAGACAGCCACGTCCACTTCCTGATTGGTCTGCTTTTTGTTTTTGTTTTTCAATTTTTGTGTGTACTACTTTCCCTGGCAATGGATTTCTACTAAAGAAATCTTGTTTTGCTATTGTTGTCTTTTCTCTGTAATCATACACTATATGAGCAAAAGTACTGGGTATCACACAGCAATGCCCAGTACACTACATATTATGTATCATATCTCCAGGACCTAGTCCGTCATGGCATGGCCACATGTCGTCTCCATCTGCTGGGCAGCCTGAGGTCTTTTGGGTTCTCTGGACATTATTGAGGACCTGTTATGACACAATGACGGCTTCTGCAATCTTGTTGTCTGTTGGGGAGCTGATAGCATAGAGAAGGACAGGAAAATAGCCTTGTAAATAGGGCAAGTTCTGTCCTGGCTATTCCTTCTAGACTATATAGAGGATGTGGGTGAGAGGAGGATGTTAGCTAAGCTGATGTCCATTACAGACAACACCCTTCATGCCTTGCATGAGACTGCATGAGACGAGGCCCTGAGCAGCTCCTTCACTTGTAGACTGCTATAGCCACTTTGTAGGACAGAGTGCTTCGTTGGTCCTTCATCCCGACAGCAGTCAGACTGTGCAACACCCACATAGGATAAATAGAAGCTAAAAAATACATTTGTATCCATTACTACTTCCACTGCACCTTATGTGCAAGTAAAAAGAAGATATTTTAGTGTATTTTGTCTTATATAGTAACCATTTGGACATAGTATGGTACACTAGTCTGCTTAATTATTCTATTTTTATATTTTTAATATATCTCTAATTGATTTTTTTCTTCCTGACCCTTGTGCTGCTGTAATCACTGAAATGCCCCCAGTGCAGAATTAACAAAGTCCATATATACCATGTAAACCCATGCCATGAAGCTCCCAGCACACAGTTGTTCTCCTGATGTTAATACCAGACGAGGTTTGGAGCTCAGTTATTGAGTTAGCAGAGTGTTGGAGTGTTTTACGTACAATGTGCCTCAGCACTCAGCAAACCCGCTCTGTAACATTATATGGTCTGGCACTTTATGGCTGACTTGTTGCATCGACGGCATCCTGTTACAGTACCACACTCAAA